AAAACATTGGCAGGGATCAAATTTCAAAATCCTGGCATCTATGGGATAAATTGAAATTTCGGATTGGATTAAATGATACCAGAGAGATGCTGCTTGAAGAATCAGTCTTGAAATTGAGTTAGGGTTTAGGCTTGCTGGAGTCAAAATTCGCGGATTACTGGAGAACTGGGTGTTGCAGAAGAAGCGCTTGCGGTGGAGACCTGGCTAGCAGAGCAGACTCGGTCAAGTGTGCCCAGGTTCAGGTATCTATGTACCGAACTCCTAAGAGCGGGCTTGGCGTTCTATCAAGCGCCTTTTCAAGAATGGTTTCCGGAATCCGGACATCAGCCAGTTGGTGCATGACACACCATGAAGTTTGCAGACTCTAGCGGGATTACTGTTTTTTGAAGGGTGCTTTCAAACTGAGGTGCGTGCTGAGCTACTTGTGTACAGTGACCAGAGGTTGAAGTCCGAGCCAGGCGATCCCAATCCCACCGACTCGCATTTGACTTGATGCAACAGTGGTGAGACAAGGAAGGCTTGCGTTCACAGACACGTTTGTGCATGCCTTGCCGAGGCTGTTTTGCTGTAGTTCACATTTCGCCAGGAGACGAGAAGCGAGTCTGTACCATGGGCGACAATCAAGCGTCAGCGCGCCGCTGCCGCGCTCTGTTACCAGCTATCAGAACCTTTGCCGGGGGTTCCTCACGGAGGCTGTCGAGCTTGGGCCTGGAAGAAGCAGTGTATTCATGCGTGACACAGCAACTCAGGAGTGTGCAGTTTTGTGATGCATCCTTGGCCAAGGTTCTCTGTCAATGTATGAGAATGGCTTGGGAAATGCAGCATTGCTGATAGGCCATCCGTGTGAAGCGGATGCCAGACTAGTGGTCACATGGGACGCGAATCGAGGTTCGAGAGCTGGGCCGCCCTTCACTTCAAGCTGGGACGTACTTCTTCAGAGCCCCTTGCTGCCCGCGGAAAGGTGCAGTCCACGGATGGCGGTGTCCGCACTTGCTCTCGCCAGTTCTTTCCACGAGCAGTGCCAGGCTTTGCACCGAGTCCGTATGTCTGCTGAAGACTTGCAGGGCCTCCATGCACAGATTCCAGGTTCTCACCGTCTTGTCGCTAGATCCGCTGGCTCCATCATCTGTTCAAGCGCAACCAGAGTTTGCCAAGAGCAGGAAGCGGGACATGAGCGGGTTGGACCTGGCGCTCTCTTTGTGTGAAGATAGTGAAGCCGCTTTCAATCTGCTTTGGGAAACCCAGGGCAGTGGTCCTTTTCTACTTGAAGCAGCTGTTTTACAAGCACCCTTTGATGAACTTGCTTCGTACCGGCCGTGTTGTGCATGAACAACCTGGTTTGTGCGCAGCAGCTGCAGAGAGCAAGCTTTTTTCACAAATCTGTGACGGGCTGCTTGAATCTGCACCCCATCGGAAGGGCCCCCAAAACTGTAAGCACCCGGCGGCCGCAGCTGGGGAGGCGCGCAGAGGAGTTTCGCCAGAAAACGCTCCGCCTGGCCCCATGCTTGAGCTTGCTGCTTCTAGCTCTCAAGCGGATTTCACTGGCGCACATCTGGCTCACGGAAACGACAGCTTGCTGCAATGCCGGTACTTGTATAAGGTTGTTGGATTATTGGCTTTTCATACACGTGCAGCTTTGGCACAGAAGAGAAACAGTCACAATGCAGTAGCTTGAGTAGGCTTGGATTTGCTTCCGAGATTGTGGTGCAGGTTTTGCCTGGTTTAGAGCCGTTTAGGAGCACTGAGAATTCACGAGAGCTCGGCAGCAAACATGAGCGAGAAATATGCATCTGTTCGAGTAAGCAACGTCTGCTTGGCTTGGGGCACTAAGGTCTCGCAGAGCAGTTGTTCAAGTTAACCATTCTTCTGCACTTGGCTGTGCTCTCAAGACGGTGAGGGATGTTTTGTTTGGTTTAGAACAGTGAGATATCTCAATACTTGAGCGGGAGGGTGCACCTTTCGCAAGGCGACAAGGACATGAACGGCAGCTTTACGAGCAAACATTCTTTTTCAGGGTCACCTCAAAATTGTGTCAGTGTTCGATGGTTTTGGCGTAGTGAAGTCTTCGCCAAAAACAGCGCTTAAACCCTAAAGCGAAAGTCACATTCCTGAATCTTAAACCGTAAACCTTACATGCGAAACCTAACACCCTAGACCCTAAACTTCCAAAAACCCCAAAGTCGAACGCGGCCGAAGCGTTCACCTGCGCCGGTAAGCGTTTCGTGAGCACTCACCTCGGCATTTAGGTGTCTCCACCATCGGATCCGTGCATTATTCGTATATGAGTATATGAGCATAGGATTATATGTGGAAATGTGCATTCGTGTGTCAGTGTGTCTGCGCAGCTGTGTACGTAGGTATGTAGTTATGTAGTTATGTATGCATGCATGCATGCATGCATGTATGTATGTATGTATGTATGTATGTATGCATGCATGCATGGATGTATGTATGTATGGCGCCACCTCAGGTTGTGCACGTTTTTCGTGGTTTCAGGACATCGTCTGACAGGGAATCAGGGGCTGGGCTAGTCGGTTCAGACCTTTATCCCACGATTGACGTGCCCAGGCCGGGGACCCAAGAAACTTCAAGAAACACTTCTCAGTCATTTTGAAAACTCACAATTCCTGTAGTGGGAGGGTAAGGTCCTGGCGTTCTCCCAAAACCCTAAACCGAGATCTCAAACCCGAACTTTGTAGTCCGATTAGAGATGCCAAGCAGGGACTTGAAGTCCTCCAAGCCCTTGGCCGAGGTCGCCTCCGCCGCCTGGATCTGCGCCTGCCAGCCGCTGAGGGAGCTCCGGGGCTTATTGAAATATATGGGTAGTTCTCTAAATTAGGGCCCCTCTTAGGGTCCGTTTTATAAGGGTGCCGTACTATATTGGGGACTTAGAAAAGGAACCGAATGTATAGAACTACCCATATTGAAATCTACCCTGTTAGAGGCACCCTCAACTCTTAACGCCGTTAAGACCTTAAAATGCAAGAGCCCTCAACACCCTAAAGGACACACCCTAAAGTCCTCAAACCCTTACGTAGCCGTCAGGCCCTAACCCCTTAAGCCCTAAATTTAAACGATGTAATTTAAACCTGTCCTGCAAAACCTTTTGAATCAGCGCTTTCAAAACTTCGAAACTTCTCTACGAAGGAGCTTCTCGTCTTACCCTGGCTCCTTAATCCTACACTCCATACAGAGGACCCTAAACCGCAAACCTTAAACCCTAA